ATATGTTTAATACGGCCCATCAAAAATGTGTAAATTTATTTCATTTATTGTTTCAACCTTTGGAAGTAAAGTCTGATGATCCACAGTCCTTTAAAAGGGCTGTGGTGAAATAATTTATTACATGGAACCTTAAAGTGGTCTGTTTTTATTTAAATAACATACATATATATATATATAATTCTCTACCTATTTGTCAGTCTTCATTCATATCTACTTGTGTATCAATCCCGCATGGCTTATATGTCTGTTTATTTATCAATCTTGTCAAGGCATTTATTCATTGAGAAGAATGCAAATAGTTTGGCTTGTAAATAAAATATAAAATATGACATGAAGCTATGTATTAGGTTGGTGCAAAAATAATGTCGTTTTTTGACGTTCAGTTTAACGTCAAAAAACGATTATTTTTCCACCAACCTAATACATATTTTTCTCATTCTATTCATCTATCTCAGTCTGTTCATATCACTCTATGTTGTCCTATTTATAGCTACCCCTCACACATATATGTGTGTATTTTTGTGTGTGTGTGTGTTTGTGTGTGTGTGCATGTGTGTGTTTGTGACAAGATGGAAAATGTTTTTCATATGACACATTTCATCCTTTAGGACTTCATCGGACAAGGTTTTACACATGCCCACGAATGAGAGACATGGAGATTTTTAATTTAGAAAAAGTATTTTTTTTTTTTATATGTCTTTTGGTTATATAATCTAACCAAATTTATTTAGATTCTTTTTAGATTTTGGATTTTATTGTTTATTAATTATTTGCTATGTAATAACAAATACATTGAACTCTTTTGTGGATCAGTTTTTATATTTTATATTACTAGGATCCACTTGAATTATATACCAATGGAGTACCTTTACTATATATATATATATATATATATATATATATATATATATATATATATATTGTAGAAAAGATGTATGACTAATTGGAAAAAAAGTTTTCATGTGATAGGTTTCATCCTTTCAAACTGCATCAGACTAAGTTTGTTTATGTCAGTGCAATAACACATGCACTCGAACAAAGAGACACTGGGAATTTTAAATTATATTTTTTAAATTATGTTTTGAGTATATAATCTAGCCAATTTCATTTAGATTCTTTTTCCTTTTACTTCTATCATCTTTGT